AGAGCTTTGCAATGAGGGATTCGTCAGCGACGCTTTTGGCCTATGTATCGTTCGAGATGTTGGAGGAAAAGACTCCAAATCGTACTTTGGGTGGCGCCGTCATCATCTCGGCCTGCAATCGATAGAGACCGTCGTCGTCGAGGAAGCGCTTCAGGAGTCGCAGCGCCATGTCGTGCGACGGCGCGGGTAGCTGGCGCCGGCCCACAATGTCATAAAGCGCGAGAAAAAGACTTTGCACGTGGCGCCAGGTCTCGGCGGTGGCCACAGACAAGAGTGTATCGACCGCGGGCACGATCGCCAGAGCTGCAGCGTCCGCGACCGTCGTCGTGACCCACGCCGGGACCACAGCCTCGAGAACGTGCGTAGCCATCGCCTTGTAGTGGGTTGCTAGAAGGTCGTTGTCCGCCACGAGCAGGCGCACGGCCTCGTCGATGTCATACGCTGCTTCGGCAGCCCGCAGCCCATCGGTCCAGCCTTCGAGCGTCCGCGTGCTCATTGTTGTTGTATCCGGAATCACCGGATACCACGTTTTGCGCCACAATTAATAGCAACGGCGCCATATTTAAGCAGTTTAAAAATATCTTTTTTCATATTGCGGGCGTCGAGCGATGACGACGTGGACCCGCGAGATGTACGCGCGCGTCGTGCACATGTCGGTGCACAATCTGCACGTGTTCCCGAGCGAGATGGCCGCCGTCGCGGACGAGAGCCCCAAGGCGCCGCTCGCGATCAAGTACATGTGCTGGCGCAAGAGCGTGATCCAGGCACGACGCCCTGGATATAGGCAATCGTATCGAGTTGTATCGCATCGTAGGCCAGTTTGTGGCTCGTCATGGCAGCGCTCGGGGTCAAGACGGCGCTGGCCGCGCAGTCGACGCCGTTCACTGCATTCCTCGGCGACATGCGCAGCTTTGTGTCGCTTCTGCCCGACGTCGTCTTGCCGAGCTTCCAAGTAGCAGCATAATACTCGCCCGTGGTTTCTTGGGCTGATGCCATGTAGAAACTGCACGTCTTGGTCGTTGTGCAGGCGTTCTCGACGGTGGGAACCTTGCTGCTCACGGGCGTATGCGCCGCCTACGCGCTGCATCACTGGACGACGTACGATCGGTCGCGGACCGCCTTGCGTCTCGGGTACGGTCTCTCGTTCGTGCTGCCGTACGCTGTTCTGCTCTTCCTTCCGTTCCGCTCGTGGTACGCGTCACCTCTCCAACGTCGTTTAAAAGCGTTGGCGGCAGCATCAACTACACTGACATTCGCCTCGAAGCGTGCGAAGCCGTCGCCTCGCTCCTTGCTCGCCAAGCCGCGCTGCGCCATCTTCCCTTTTCGCCGAGTCAGGTCTGCAACGACTTTCTCAACGCGCCACAGTGGGTTCGTTGCCACTCATTTTAAAGTTCGACGACCCACAGGAAGCATAGGGCGACGAGCTTCTGCGCTCGCTCGAAACCATGGGCGTCCTCAAAAACAACACGACGCGTGTCTGCCTCAACGTCTACGCCGCCGCCAACACGAGCATCAACCAGACGGCGCCGACGGCGTGCAGCGAGCCCACCTGTGCGGCCTGCCTTGCGGACGCCACGTGCAGCAGCATGGGTCTTGTTTACATGTACAACCCGTCGGCGTTGGAGGCAGCGCACCCCGCGTGCGCCTCGTGCTTCGCGTCGTCTTGCATGCGCGACTGCCTCCACGCGTCCTTGCCGCCGCTTCTTTCCCAAGCGCCAGGTTGCTTGCCGATCGCAGTCGTCATATTCAGCGTTGTGGATAGAGCTCTGCCTCCCGGACACGGTCGTTGACGCCATCACAGCCCTCGGCACGATCCACTCGAGCAGCGACTATGTCGAGTTGCTCATTGGCACCCTCGTCGGTACGCTCCGATTGGTGCGCTCCAAGTCTACTATCTTGGCGTAGGGCTCTCGTCGCTGCAGACGCTCGTTCCCCAAAGCATGTCTCTCCTCTTTGGCTGCATCCGTGGGGGCCAAGCTCACCAAGACACTCGTGCCCTACTCGCGCCTACCCGGCTACGGCATTGGTGCGGCGATCCTTCTCTGCACACCCATGCTCACGACGGTCCTCATCGCGATTCACCAAGCCTTTGGCAACCTCTGGTGCTCCGAGCCAACAATGGCCCAGAGGTTCACGAGATTCTAGGAGCGTCGCCACCATCCTCGTCTACCTCGCGAGCATCTTCATCTGGTTTCCGATC